GGAAAACAGTTTGGTGGTTTCTCAAAAAGTTGAACACAGAGAACCACTATATGACTCAGAAATCCATGCCTAAATATATAATCAAAAGGCCTAAAAGCAGTGACACAAACAGACATATGCACACTAACATTCACTACAACACTATCAACTACATCCAAAATGGAAACAACCAAAATGTCCATCAAATGATGAATGGATCAGCAAATGTGGTATATACATACAATGGAGTATTACACAGCCATAAAGAGGAATGATGTCCTAACGTGTGCCACAACATGGATGAACCCTGAGGACATCATGCTGAGCAAAATTAGACACATAAGTGATCCTTCCATGAAATAAGCAAATATATAGAAACCAAAAATTATTAGTGTCTACCAGGGGAAAGAGGGACAAACGTATGGTTTACTATGCTGGGAATGATGAATGGAAGAGGAATGGGATTGTATATCATCAAAAACAACATTTCAAGCTCTATCCTGAAGTACAATGCTGTTAGTGATAGAATAATACCCATATGCTTACATGAAAGACCAGTTAATATGACTGTAACTCAAATTTACACATCAACCACTAATGCCAAAGATGAAGTAAGTGAAGAATTGTACCAACTTTGGCTGTACAAACATGCAACCAAGATTTGTTGATAATTATTGGTGATTAGAAAGTTGGAAATAACAAAGGAAGATCACTAGCTGGAAAATATGGCCTTAGAGTAGAAAAGACACCAGAGATCGCATAACAGAATTTTGTAAGACCAATGACTTGTAAATTCCAAATACCTCTTTTCAACAACATATATGGGAACTATACACTAAACCTCGCTCAATGGACTCTGCCAGAATCCAACTGACTACCTCTGTGGAGAGAGACAATCAGAACAAGGCCAGAGGGCAACCACAGAACAGGCCACCAATTGCTCATATCTAAGTGCAAGTCAAAAGAGAAGAAAATTAAAACAAGTCCACAAGGGCTAAAGTATGACATTGAGTATATCTCTCCTGAATTTAGAGACTGTTTCAAGAACAGATTTGACACTTTTAACATTAATGACCAAAGACCAGATGAGTTGTAGGATGACATCAAGGACAATATACATGAAGAGAGCAAAGGTCATTAAAAAGACAGGAAAAAAAGCAAAGACCAAAATGGATGTCCAAAGAGACATAAAACTTCCTTTAAACTGTAGAGTAGCTAAAGTGAATGGAAGAAATGATGAGATGAAGGAGATGAAAAGAAGACTTCAAAGGGTAGCTCAAGAAAGAGAGTATCATAATGAAAAATACAAAGAACTGGAGTTTGAAAACCAAAAGATAAGAACATGTTCAACACTTCTCAAGCTGAAAGAACTGCAGGAAAAATTCAAGCCATGAGTTGCAAAACTGAAGGATTCTTGGGAAAAATATTGAATGATGGAGGAAGCATCAAAAGAAGACAAAAGAAATACAAGAGTCACTGTACCAAAGAGAATCAGTCAACAATCAACCATTTCAGGAGGAAGCATATGATTAAGAACTGATGGTAATGAAGGAAGAAGTCCATGCTGCACTAAAGGCACTGGCAAAAAACATGACTCCAGGATTTGATAGGATACCAATTGAGACGTTTCAACAAATGGATGCAACACTGGAAGCGCTCACTCATTTATGCCAACAAATTTGGAAGATAGCTCATTGGCCAACTTACTGGAAAAGATCCATTTACATGCCTACTGCAAAGAAAGGTGATATAACAGAATGTGGAAATTATTGAACAATATATAATTAATACCACATGCAAGTAAAACTATGCTAAAGATGATTCCAGAAGGGCTGTAACAGTACATCAAAAAGCACTTCCAGAAATTCAAGCCAGATTCAGAAAAGGACATGGAACCAAGGCATATCACTGCTGTCAGAAGGATCTTGGCTGAAAGCAGAGAATACCAGAAAGATGTTTAACTTTAAATTCAATGATAAAATGTTCACAGTGGTGATTTAGAAACAAAATGTTCAGATGTAAAGCAAAATAGAATAGAAAACAAAAAGATACGTTTTTAAATTTTACATGTGTTAAAGTTCAAATAAATTATATTTTAAAAAGCTTAGTAAATTTATTCTAACATCTCTAATATATATTAAGGAGCTCTGGTGGCGCAGCGCCTAAGGCATTTGATTGCTAACCAGAAGACTGGTGGTTCAAACCCACCAGCCACTCCTTGGAAGGCAGACTGGGCAATCTACTTCCATAGAGATACTGCCCCGGAAACCCAAGTAGGGGTCACTATGAGTCGAATCGACCCTGCAGCAGAGAGTCTGGTTTGGAGTTTAATATATATTAACAAAACTGAATAATAAGAATTTTCCTTTAACAGCAGTTCAATCTCAGTAAGACTGATTTCATTATAAATTGCCTAGCATAATAAGTAGCATAAATTAATAATGATTTTGTGAAGATTTATTCTAGGATTCTGGTAGATTAATGCTACACATTTTGGGGTCCATAATATAGAAACTACATTTATATTAAGTCCATAAAAGTAACTTTGTACACCAGGAGCTTTAGGAGCCTGCTGTTTTTCACTAAGTCATATATTTACATATGGAATTGATTTTCCTTCAGTGGTGATGGATCTGCATTCCTCCAAACATTCTTGGTTAACCTTGTAACCTTGCATTTATTTCTGAAATGGTTAAATAATAGTGCAAGCTGGGCCATGAACCAAATTGGTCCTTAGGGATTTTTGATACCTGTCACTTTACCCACCATAGCACCACCAACCAACTTAGCCAACAAGTCAAAGACTAATATACTTTGAAGATAATGATGATGATCATGCTTACTCTGATGAGTCTCAGCATGTATTAACAAGAAAGGAGGATAAAGGTTGGGAAAGAATTCATTCAATTCTGAACTTGTACAGTCTTGAAAAACAGCCCAGATTTTATAACAGGAGATACCTCAGAAACAGTCTTGTTTAAGAACAAAAGGGCCAACAACTTGTCAAGATTAACAGTGCAAGTTTGTGCTTTGGGGCTAGACTTTTATAAGGAATAATCAAATGACAGTAAATAAAATTACAAGGCATAATTTAATTTGTCTCATTGTATGAAACGTGTCATTACTTTCTCATATTGGCCAACCAAACATAATGCAATCTCCATAAAAACATCTACTTCAGTACCCCCCCAAAGTAGTTCATAAAGAATCATTGTTCATTTTGAAATTACCTCTGCCCCCTCCCCACTGCCCACGTACGTTTCATTTAGAACAAGCCCTTCTCAGAAGTATATGGGCCTGTCAACTTGTTTGCTCCCAGGCACCTGTCCGTGCTCACTGAATGTCAATGCTACTGTTACATGATTGGGCAGATTAAGACTGTTTTCAGTCAATCATACAAAAACAAGGTATAACCCTAACCACTAAAGCAAGAACTACAACGAATATAAACATCAAAATTCCCCAATACCTTAAATTATAACTTACCAAAAGTTTTTTGCTTGGAACTGATGGCTTTCTATGCATGCAATAATGGTTTGCTGTCCATCTATTTTTTTACCATACACCTTAACGGCAAAGAAGGACAAGAACAAAAGTGATTTTAGGATGGCAGAATGTCCAACTTTAAATACCTATAAAATGTTGAAAATTGTATAGTACTTTGGCAGAAACATATAAAAGAATACAAAGTAGGTCATCATGCCAATACAGGAGCTACAAAAAATACTGAAATATGTATAGCTAATTACAGGTTGAAGAGTGGATCAAAGCAAAGCTCACAAGAAATAAAGTGCAATTTATCGAATGAAACTAACTTTACTCAAAGATATTCATAAACATCCTGGACATACCATGCTTTCCAATCCAGAACAGGTTAAGTAACGTAAAGAACTTAGTATAAGCATATAGAAACCAATCCAGCTGTTCCACACAAATAACAAGTAGAATGTAGCTATCAATTTTGTTCACTTCACAATCTTTGGGGTTCCCATTTCTCTAGTCATTTTAAAAAGTATTGAGACAGCAAAGGGAAACATGAAAAAGGTCTTTAAGAGAATGTCTATGATATATGACAATGCTATTTCACCTCTTGTTTACTACTTTAAAAATGAGTAATTCCAACCACTTAAGAATAAACAAGCACTCTCAAATTCAACTGAACCATCTTAGTTTGTTGAGTTATTCTTCTGACATAACCTTAATCAACAAGGTTATAATTCAAAGAAATCCTGAGTGATTTTAGGTTATGTTGCTGTATTTCTTAAATAATCACTGAGCGCTAGATACTTAAAAGGACCATATGACTTTCTGTCTTAAGTGAGAAAGTTCTGAGAATGAAATCTGGTACAACTAGAGATGTTAATAATTAATTAATTAAGTTAGGACATAGGTATAAACCAGGATGTATGGTTGTCTTGGGTTGGAGGTAAGCAGAGGTCAGGTCCACAGGGCCTATAAAACCATGTTCAAAAGTCTAGACTCTACCCCAAGTTCAATGGGAGGGATTTCAAGTAGGAGATTTTCATGAACTGACAGTCATTTCAAAAAGTCACTCTGCTATGGAAAAGACCATGGAAAACAAAGTGACAGGCTAAAAACCCATCACTAAACACCGGACTAAAAAGACTAACAAGCCTATGAAATTAAAAAGAAAAATAGGTAAAACCATGATAAGGAACCACATAAATAAGTACAGGAAATCTGTCTAAAAAAACATGTAAGAACATGATCCTACTTCTAAATAATTTTATTTGTTCTAAGATTTCTTTACCTACCTAAAAAGAAATTTGATCTAAACTTACTGAAATTAATTATGAACACGAGATTAAAGAATCTTATCATATCCTACCCTTCTAATCAATGTTATTAGAATTCTTATGGATTTAATTCAAGGTACAACCATTTTTCCATTTTAGACTATCATAATATATCTATTTACTATTTAAAGGTTCTTAGGGGTAAAACAATAACAACATTTTTTCATATAAACTCCAAGGAGGGAAAAAAGTGACAAATTATAAAATGTCAGTTCTCTAAGTTAATGTCAATTTTAGGAGAGAGTAAAAGCACTGTCATATTCACACACAATACAGGACTTACAGTGCAGACCCCATTTGGGTAATGTTCTTTTACGTAAGCTCGCAAAGCAGTTTCTACTGAAGTTCTCCAGGATTCAATCGCGTTTTCTGCTTCATAGGGTCTTAGATCAGTTGCTTCCTTTCTTAGGTGATCAAATTTGAAACAGATTCTGTTTTTTGGATCCAAAAACTTTCCATTTCCCAAGTCACCATGTTCTGTTATCAATACCTTCAATAATAGAATGAATTTTTTTTGGGGGGGGGGAGAAAAAAAGAATTAAAAACAGTATGTAAATACACTTACATATTAATACACATTCACATAACCTTTTTCCTTAAACTATAAAATAGTTCTACTCCAAGCAATGTGTTTAACTACAATGGCACAACTATAATATTTCAAATGGCTGACTATAAAGAAAAATGAGACTATACCCATTCGGCATAGATCAGATGTCCCCCCAATACAACTTCCAGCCTCACAGTGAAAACCTACATCCCTTAATACAATGCAGGAGTCAGTTTTGTTTTTTTTTTCCTTGAGAATGAAAAACAGTTTATCATTTCTGATATCAGTCTTCAATCTGTCAAACCTCAGGAACTGATAATAATCTTTAACCAGGATGGTTACAAGAATGATTTGGTTCAGTAAGAATCCTGTTCAGTGCTTCCTGTTTTGTTCTTAGGCCCATAATTCTCTACTGTGAGGTGCCCCCTTCTTGTTTCTTATGAACTAATCACTGACAGTTGTTTAGTTACGTATTTTCTGAAATGTAATTTACTCATTTACACACATGCATAACTGAAAATGCCTAAACCTGGTCACATATATTGTGCTTTATTTAAAAACTCAGCCCTTTTCCTTCCCTGGCAACTCTCCCAATCCACCTACCTGTTAGGACTTCCTTATCATCCTGGTGGTAAATCCTGCTAACATTACATGTATTCTTCTAAATTCTTTTCATATGCATAAAATCTTACATAGATTAAGTACAGAAATGTCCATCTGTACATATACAGGGTATTTTGGGCCATCATTTTATAAAAATGGAATACAAATGCACACACATACTTTCCTGCGTTAGGCTGTCATCATGCACACCTTCTGGAAGTCCCTGAAAGCTGACTGGTACACCTCTCACCATTCTTTTTAGTAGCTGAACAGTACCCCATGATGTGGTTATGTTGTTGCTGTTGGGTACCACCAAGTCAATTCTGACTCACAGTGACCCGACAGGACAGACTGCCCCCAGGGTTTCCTGGGATGCAGTCTTCATGGGAGCAGATTGCCGGGTCTTTCTTCCTGTGGAACAGCTAGTGAATGTGACTGGTTAGTGGTCAAGCACTTAACCACTGTGCCGCCAGGACTCCAAAATGGATATATTATATTCAGGCATTCTCTTATTGATGGGCATTCT